GTCAGCTTTGCAGTTGTGTAGAGTGAGCCCACTTTTGACATCACTTTAGGAAGGGTTGTTAAGCATTTCTGATTCCTCATCTCCATTCAAGCCATCTTATCATCTGATTCCTGGTACATGTCTTTAGAATTTTCTTCTAAGCTATTAATACCCATTTTGCAAGTTTGATATTGGCTGCTTTGATGTTAACAATAACCACATCAGATCTGCTCTCTGGATGAGAGATAAATGTAATGCATTGATTTTGAGATGCATCCTGATTTCATCTCCGCTAAAAATGGGACAAGTTCTTCCTCTTACTGTTGTTGTTAAGTGCCATTGAGTCATAGACGACTCATAGTGACCCTGTAGTGTTTCCGGAGGCAAGCTATTTCAGAAGTGGATGCCACTTTTGCTTCCAAGCTTGTTAGAAAGAATAAAATTTTTTTAAAAAAAGAATAAAATTTTATATTTTGACTCTACTGGCAATAATGCTTTCTAACTGAGTAATTGTAAAGATGAAGTCAAGGATGGCTCCAAAGCTTTTGACTTGGCCACCAGGACATTGGGAAGAAGGGATCCTGGTTGGCCTATGCATCCTCCACTGTGCTGTTACTGGTAAACCCTGGAAGTGAAGACCAAGTTTGAAAGGCCACATTGTTCAAAGTCTCCTTATTTTTGTTGAATATATTTTATTAGTAATACATGGTCATGAATATATAAAAGCAAATGACTAAAACTCTCTGTTTTGTATGCAGACAACTGTATTAACAAAGGCTCTTCATTCATCACATAAATACATGTATGTGTATTTATAATCAGTTCATAGTTTCCTTAGAGAGAGGGAAGAGTCCTTCAAAATATGAGCTCAACAACATATCTAAAGACAAGATAAACTTATCTATCAGAATATGAAGTCCTATCTTTTCAGAAGTATCATCATTTTCAAAGTTCTCTGATACAGATAAAATCCATGCTTGAAAAAGCTAAAAACCAAATTGAAGATGTTCTATATAATAAGATATAAAGTGCAAACACAGCATTTTAAGAAGACAATTTGGATACAATTCTCCAATACAATATTCTTGAGAAAACCTATTTCTTTCTCACATGGGAAGTGACAGAATTCCATGATTCCCATGGAAATCTTGTGCATTAAGCTGAGCGAGACGTTATTTGATCTGAGAAACAGATCTACTGAAGTTGGTGATTAATAACCTAGAAATATGTTCTGAAGACGGGACTCATGGTTCAGTCAACAAAGCCAGAAGAGATTAAGATAGATGCACAAAGAACACTGTGTCTTTGTGGGGAAGGGCCCACAGGAGAATGTGGGGCTCAGTCAGAGAGGGAAATGGCACCTGCTTGCCAGCCGCGCCAATGGAATTAATCAGTAAGGGAGCACTTGTTAAAACGCCATTTTTCGCACAATTCTGACATGCCCTAAACGCCTTCATGCACATTCACAGCATAACAGATCACGGAGAGTTTATTATTAGATGTTGTTGTTGTTATGTGCCGTCGAGTCGTTTGCGACTCATAGCGACCCTATGTACAACAGCCCTAAACCCTGCTCTATCCTGTGCCAATCTCATTGCCCCTGACACACCCATCCCGATCACCCCAGTCACTGAATCAATCCACCTCATAGAGGGTCTTCCCCTCCTGCGCTGTCCCTCCACTCTGCCCAGCATGATGTCCCTCTCTAAAGACCTGTCTCTCCTTACAACATGTCCAAAGTATGTCAGGCGAAGCCCCAGAATCCTTGCCTCCAAGGAGTAGCCTGGTTTAACCCTCTCTAGGATGAATCTATTTGTTTTCTTGGCAGTCCATGGTACATTCAATACTCTTCTCCAGCACCACAGCTCAAAGGTGCCAATTCTCCTTCTATCCTCCCTAGTCATTGTCCAACTCTCTGATGCATAACAAGTGATTGCAAAAACCATGGCCTGTATCAGGTACACCCTAGTCTCCAGAGAGACACCATTGCTCTTGAGTACTTTAGAGAGGTCCCTAACTGAGATCATTTAAATTGAATATTAATTATACAACTATCATCATATTAAATATATAAAACCCCTAGAACAGCTTTTTATTAACATGCAGAAATTTAGATTCCTGGCAATTTTTTTTCTCTTGTTTTCCTCTTACTAAGAGAAAAAAAATTGAACTGGAGAAAAGTTTACAGTGGTCAAGGATTTCATTTTACTTGGAATCACAATCAATACTTGTGGAAACAGCAGTCAAGAAATCAAATGGGAAAGGAGAAAGATCTTTTGAGAAAAAAAACAACACATTCAAACTTAGTAAATAAAGCAGTATAACGTTTAAAAAAAAAGGGGAAAGCAAATGGCGTATTGCGTTGGGCAAATTTGCTTCTGAAGACCTCTCGATGGCCTTCCAGCAGGCTAGTAGGACTCTTCAGAGTGGTAGGCAATGCCTCTTCTTCCCACTCGTGCTATGGATTGAGAATTCCTCAAGTTTGCAGAAGTTGAGTTGTTCCATGTTTCTTTGTCTCTCATTAAATACATTTGGAACAATCTAAGCTTGCTTTAAGACAATAAACACATTTACTTATAAAATGGAGAACTCATAAAATCACTTATACTGAAGAGTTTATAATTCATCATCTATTTGGTGTTTCTGTTAGACTGAAAGCACTTGAAGTCTTAAAGCACCATTCTTTTACCACTCAGAATTTCCATTTGAGTAGACAAGGACAGAGGAACTTCAAGAAGACAACTTTTTTCCTGGTCTATCCTTTGCTCCATCTTACCCTATTCCCCAACAACCTTTTAGGTTTCTCTACCTTCTTCTTCTAGGTGTATACAGACATTAACTGCTTCAGCCAAAACTAGAGTTATTGCAGGAGGGGTGAGATGTGAGTCACTTCTCCACAGAATAAGAGAGAGGCAGTGTGAGCAGTGTGTGGGTCATAAGGCGGATCCTGAACATGGCATGGCTGGACAGAAAGTTTCCATTTCACTTGCACTTTACTTGACCTGTGGAAAAACAGAGACTTTCTATTTTTAGAAATCTAATTGTTTCAACTGCTTTGAGGTTCTTTGTGAATGTAAAAATTCAATTCTGTATGCAAGGCATTTTAAAACACAGTGAACCCAATCCTAGCATATTTTTTGTTCCTTTTCTCTGCATTCCCTTAAAATATTTTCGTTGTCATTATGGCACAAAGTAACTGAAACAAAATTGGTTATCTTAAAATTCTACCGTTTCTTCAGCAATGTATATGGCGTCAAAATAGCTATATGGTTGTACTATAAATACAGTATTCTGTATTGTAGATATTTTTATAATTATAATGTCTTCAAGAAAAGAATTTATAGCTATGATTCTCCTTCTCGTTGGACAGTACACAGTGTTTAAAACTGAGAACAATAAACAGTCTTTCAGTCTCTGACCTTTGGGAGATTTTGCAATAGAGGGGGGACAATTACATTCACAAAATACCCGCTGTGCTTCAGGTTGCCTGTAGTCCCATCCCTGTATCTATTTCCACTCAAAATATCATTAGTTAAGTGTTTTGTAAACAAGGAAACCGAGAATCAGAAATATTAGCAACTTCTGATATTCTTTGACTTAAACACAGTAATATTTGATGCTTTAGAAGAATAACTTTGGGGATTATTTTATTTAGCTAAATCCTCTCAGTGATAGAATGATAATATGTAATGTTGGAAAGTTGTATATGAACAAGGAATGTCACAGAATATTTGAATATACTACAGAGTTTAAAGACATCAGCCTTTTTGTTCTGTCTTTTTTTTTTTTTTTTTTTTTGGTTCTCCTATGGAATTGACACTGCTCTGGTCATTATCTGGAGGGAGTTGAGCTGCTAATACTAAAGCTGCCCTTCTGTCGCTGTTCAAATCTACCACCAGTTCCATGGTAGGAAGATGGGCAGTCTCTTCCCATGTGATTTACAGCCTCCAAAAGCTCACTAGAGGGTCAGCTGTGAGTCTTTTTTCACTCGTTGTTGTTGTTACTGAGCACAGACTAGTTGGAACTAACAGATGACCCTCCAGTGGGTTTTCAGAGGCAGCAAATCATGTGGGAAGAGATTGCCCATCTTTCTCCCACAGAGTAGCTGGTGGATTCGATCTCCCTATCTTTGGGTTGGCAGCACTATACCAGTGAGTTTTTGAGAATTTTCTGGCCATTATGATTCTCAGAGGCTTAATTTACATGTCATAAGATAGGAATAATAACATCTTTCCTGTGTACCTCCCAAGTTTTGATGAAATGAATGATATAATTAGGTAAAAGTGAAGTAGTGCAATTTTTAATTTTTTTAAGATTGTCTCAAATGGAGATATAAATAAAGTCCCTCTGGAATGTTTGGGGGTGCACATTTCACTTTGCAAATAGGTTGAAAATCAAATCATTTTTAAATTATCTGTAACTTAGCCAAATTTTTTTCCCCTCAAGAAGAATCATATATGAAAGGTTAGTAACATTATTTGGGGTATTCTTACGATGTATAGGATATGGTATAGATAATGTACAATTTTAAAGACCTGGAAGGCATGATTTTTTGCCTGGCTAGGAGTATGAAGAAAAAATACAAATCTATTTTCCCCTCTTATTTCTCTGTCTTGCTCATCCAAGATAGTATGCTGCCAGAGAAAAGCCCAGATTTTGATTGAATAAATTCACTCCTTGTGTATTAGAATTTATTTTTCTTTCTTAATGTAACACAGTTGCCCTGTTCAAGAGACATTTGGCAGCATGAGATGAGATTTTGAAATCTGAAAGGAAAACTTACAGATCCATTTTTCAATATATCAGTATTCGTATATATATTTTTAAAACCCACCCTAATCTCCCATGAGTTAACTACTGACTAGTCAGTTCTTTTGGTGTCTTTTATTTTGAGAAAAGTGGAAATTTTGATTTCTGAATACTGCCTCTCACATTGGAAATACTTAAAAATTGATTGTCATTGTCTGAGTTGGTTTGTTTTGAATTCTGTACTTTGACGATTCTGCTTCATTTCTCTTCAGTAGATGACACAGTGGTTGCGATTCCCTATGGAAGCAGACACGTCCGCCTTGTTTTAAAGGGACCTGATCACTTGTGTAAGTAGACTCTGTTGTTTTCTTTGGGGGATCAGGAATCCTACGCATTGTTATTTCTTTCTTATTCCCAGAAGAGATTAAAACCTGGGAATACAAATCTTGCTACTCTATCATAGTATGATATTTTGAACAGCACTGTTTATCTTTTGACTGCCTGATGAGATGGCAGAAACCTCTGTGATAATTGTCTGTAACCGCAGACATCCTGAAAAATACGGAAAAGATGCTCCCAGTTGGTTGTTCACAGGTTAAGCACGTGTTTATTCTTTCATCTTATTCTTCTTTCTTTCTGATCCAGTTAAGCCCAGCCACAATCCTGCTCCCAGCTCCTCTCATTCCACCCCCCCTTTCTCATTCTCTTTCTATTTTTTTGCCTACTCTCATGGTCCATTACTTTATCAGTTTCAAGGAATATAGAAGCACCAGGCAATTTTCACACTATGCCATCTGAAGAAAACTACTGTGATACATTTCAATATTTCAGGGAGCTTTGCTGTCCTAGTGGATAAAGACTTGTGCTCACCAAGCCAAAAGCAGGCCGTGCAAATCCACCAACCGCTCCACAAGAGAAAGATGGGCAGTCTCCTCCCGTGCAATTTATAGCCTCTAAAAACCCACTGGAGGGTCAGCTAGGAGTAAGTTCCAATTCAACAGCAGGGAGGTTTTTTTAAATCTCTGGTAGCCTAGTGGTAAGAAGCTGCATTGCGATCCCAAAGACAAGCAGTTCGAATCCACCAGTTATTCCGCAGAAAGATGAGCAGTCTCCTCTCATGTGATTTACTGCCTCTGAAAACTCACTGGAGGGTCAGTGATGGTTCCATCCCAACTCAACAACGACACAATGACAACATGGTAAAATCAAGTAGCCTGTGTATTAAAGATAACACAGAGCCCCAGTATTTTAAAGATGGCTATTGCAATTTTTTAAATTTTTATTAATTTTAATGAAAGTTTACAGAGACTTAGGGTTTCCAGTCATTCGGCTATTGCAAAATGTAATCATAACCCTAAGTCTTGAGGCTTAATGGTAAGAACCTGAACTGCAGTCCCGAATGCTCATGGTTCAGATCTACCAGCTGCTCTGTGGAAAAAGAATGCGCAATCTCCTCCCGTGCAATTAATTGCCTTTGAAAATGCCTTAACAGTCAGCTGTGGGTCAGTTCTGACTCATCAGTACTCAACAACAACAACAAAGATCAGATAGTGACATAGCCCCGCCGGAGTTTGCTCACTCTCATGGAAGAATTGGTTGATTATTGGGCATGCCAAGGCAGTAGCACGCAGGTACAGTTTTGTTTTAAAAAATTATTGTTTAATGATATTTAAGTGTAGATTGCGTATTACAAGCAGAAAATTATGGGCTGTAAACCAGGGAGAGAGTAAGAGAAGCTATACCAGAATGTCCCTTAGAAGTGTCACAGAAAGTCTTCCTTCTAGCTGGTCCCTTGAGCATTTCTGACTCCCTCCACTTACTGTTCCAGGGTTGCTGCAAAGCAGCCCAACATCTTCTGCTTTTCCTTCCCTCCTACACACATGCCTATGAGACCAATTTAGGTAGCAAATGTTATCTTTTGGCAATTGCAATATGAGTGAAATCAGGCTACAATGACAAGTGCAAGCAAGACAAATCAGAGTCTGTACAAGTTAATTTAAGATAGCATTCTTTAGTCTCGAAAAAGAAAAATACATTGCATGGGAGCAGGGTCGGCTGAGGGGTCATGAGAATTAAGGGAATAAGTGAGGTACAGGTCAAGCAAAGTCAAAGAGATGCTGGTAAGTCACCTTATATGGATCCAAGTTCTTTTCTAAACCAGACAACCCCATCAGATACAGTATTCTCATGTCAAAGTATGATGTCTGTGTATTACCATCCAACGATTCGCTTTTCCCTTTGAGAATTGTACACTGCTGGTGTACAATTGCACTTGAAAACAGTGTTTTTCTGAGCAATGACAAACTAATATAAAATGCCCAAGCAAGAGTCATCACCTTTAAGTAGGGGGCTGACTACTTAATGTAGGGGAAAAAGAACCTAGAGAAAGCAATTTAAGAGGAAATATTATTTTTAGAGATTTTCAAAACTCAAACTTAGTACTGTTGAATGTGACACCACTCATAGTTAACCCTCCAATCGCTTTTCAGAAAATCACATGGGAGGAGATTGTCCATCTTCCTCCCAATGAGCTGGCATACGCCTTTGAATTGTCAGCGCAACTCCCTATCCACAAGGCCCTTTATTAGCCCCCCCCTAATTTTATACATCTCCTGTCTTACTTTATAAATTTAGAAAATATTAGCTCTCTTTATTATGTTGCTAAGAAATTGAAAAACTGAACTTTTGGGGTTTAACTGTACCAAAAACTTGATCGGTAAAGCTGCAGATGATAATCATTAATGATAAAAATAAAATGGAATCTGCCAGTATTATTGATCATATATATATGTGTGTTGTTGTTGTGGCTGTTATGTGCCGTCGAGTCACTTGCGACTCATAGCGACCCTATGTACAACAGCCCTAAACTCTGCTCTGTCCTGTGCCAATCGCACTGTCTCTGACACACCCATCCCGATTACCCCAGTCACTGAATCAATCCACCTCATAGAGAGTCTTCCCCTAGTATACATGTGTAGCTGAGGAATTCTTTCTTGTGTCATTTGTTATTTAACTATCATACAATGAATGTGTGATTAGTGATTCACACACTTACTCTATGTAAGAAGAGTTGTTTCTGAGGCAGCTCTTTTGTTCTTCATGCTAAAGAGCCAGTTAAGTCTAATCAGAGGCCTTCTTCAACTGTTGTAGGATAAACCTAATCAGTCTGGTCTAAGACCAGCCCAAAGTGCCTTATGAAGCTGGAAGCCTGGAGGTAGCATTTAATAACATGCTGAGATAAGGCCTGGTCCTCCGGAACTTTCCCAAAACTAAGTTTGTATTCTAAAGATATTTTTACAAACGAGTGCTTGTACGAAGGACGCTGGAAGATTCAATGTTATTTCTTTTCCTTAATGACAGTATTTGTGATTTCTCCTGCTCTAATATTTCCCTGATGGGCCTTAGTGATCTTCTGTGGGGTCATTTCTAAATTGAAGCAGGAGAGTGAAGACTGTTGAACTTGCAAGAAGAACTGCACAGCCTTCATCTGTAGGACACTAGACATTTTGCTGAACACCAAACATTTCTACCAGTTTGTCTTTGTTGTCAAGACCTAAAGATAGTTAACATCTACAGTAAATACACATGCCTAATTTTAGAACCATAGTTGTTCTGGTATCTATAGGTATCTCCAAACTCTCTAACTCCCTCTCCCTCCCTCCCTCTCTCTCCCCCTTCTTCCCTCTTCTCTTTCTCCCTCTCCTTCTTCCTCCCTCCCTCTCCTTCTTTCCCTCTCCTTCTCCCTTTCTTTCCCTCCCTCCCTCCTCTCCTCCCTTTTTTCAGACAGGAGACATTTATTCTAAACCATTTCTCAATTGCATGAAAGCTCAGCTCATTCTCCTCTGAAACACACAACATATATAACCATCTTCTCCAGCATGTTTTGAATTCCTATGGTAAAGTTCTTGTCTAGAAGTCATTATTAGCCAAAGTCAAATTCTAATGCTCATAATTAGGTTCTTAAAGACATATAAACACTGCCATAAACTTGACTCCAACTCATCTCACCCCTCCTTTGGATTCCTGATACTATAAATCCCAATAGGAGTAGATGGTTCATCTTACTTGTTTGGAGCCACTAGTAGACTCTAACTACCAGAGACTTGCACTTTTGAGTTAACAGCACATCTCTCTACCGATTACACTAAGATTATCCTAGCACATATAAATTACCATATGTATTAGGGACCTCTCCAAATTATTGAGGAGTAATGATGTCACTTAGAGAACTAAGGTAGTTCTGATTCTGGTCATAGTCTTTCTGATCATTTACTATGCATCTGAGAGATGGACAGTGAATAAGGATGACAGGAGAAGAATTGATGCATTTGAGCAGTGGTGTTGGAAAAGAGCACTGAACATCCTACAGACAACCAAAAGAACAAACAAATACGTCTTGGAGAGCCTACAGGTGGAGTGCTCTTTGGAGGCATGAATGATGAGGCTTCACCTCACGTATTTTGGGCATGTTGCTAAGAGGGGCTAATCCTTGGAGATGGACATGATGTTAGGAAGGGTAGAGGGTCAGTGAAGGAGAGGAAGACCCTCAACCAGGTGGATTGACGCAGTGACTGCTGCAGTGGGTTCTTGTGTATCAGGAAGTGTGAGGATGGCGCAGGAGAGAACAGGGTTCAGATCTTTTTTCATACGGTTGCTATGAGTCATACTCGATGGCACCTAATAACAAAAATAACAACAACATATATTTATATACAAATATGTAATGTAAATATATATAATTCTTTATATATGTATGTATATATAGTACTTTATATGTGTGTGTATACACACACACACACACACATATATATACACACATACATAAACACACACACACAATACTGACTGAAATATTTTAAAGGATCAAAATAGAGGAAAACCAAAAAAAAAGAGCTAGGTTTCTAACTTTATGTCTCTATAGTTTCTTGATTTTAAGCAATAGCACATATGTAATAAGCAACCAGAAAGTATAATAAACTTGATGCCATTTGAGGCCACCAACTACTCTTAGGAGGAGGAGAGAAGAATGGGCCGTTTTTCTCCCATGTAATTAACTGCCTCTGAAAACCCACTGGAGTGTCATCGAGGGGTCTGTTCCAGCTCTATGGTACACAACAACAACACACAGGTGCAGAGAGAACTCGGTGACATATACTGACTCTCATAGAGCAAAAAGAAAGTGAGGGCTTTAATACTGAAACTGATAAGATATATGTGGGAGATAGCGGAATCAAGGAACAGTGTTTTCATAAAGGGAGATACCTGAAGATTTGACGGTGAGCCTTGACATTGACTACTTGTAATAGTTGGCTGATTAATTCTTAAATTATTCCACTTGCAGCTTATAAGTCCATGTGTTCTTGTTGTCCTCACATATTTTGTGTATATCTAGATTTCTGTTTTGTTAACCATTCAAAGAATGATGCCTCTCGACTTGGTTGCTTGAAAAGTCTTTGCGAGTGGTCTATAGCCCTGGTAACATCTTTCTCTGCTGTCCTTGTATTTGATTATATAGTTCTGGAAACCAAAACTCTGCAGGGGGTTAAAGGTGAAAGCAGTCTCAGCATTACAGGATCCTTTCTTGTGGACAATTCTAGTGTGGATTTCCAGAAATTTCCAGATAAAGAGATACTACGAATGGCGGGGCCACTCACAGCAGATTTTATTGTCAAGGTGAGTTCATTTGTGTACTTAATTTTTAAGCCAGTGTCTTCTAATTGACATTTATATATATATATATATAATCTCTTGAGGAGAGAAATAACTTTAGATTTTGGCAAAGCCTGTTTTCCACAAAAATGCTGACTTTAAAGGCTACAGAGCTGTACCTAGATTTTATAGGAGAATCTGTGTTATTACATGTGTTTGTTTATTCTAGTCAGAATAGGTAAATATATCTTTAGCTGGTATTTACAAACAACTTATTAAATGTGTTTGGATGTAGTCATGGGCTCACATAGGATGTCGTCCTGCATAACAGAGGAGGACAAACTAGTGGTCCAGAGACTGGGTCAACTTACCATGTTTCCATTCGCAAGTTCTGTTTTCTGTTGTACTGGCAAAAAGAGCATCAGAGCTTCCTTACCCTTCAAGGTAATAGAAAACATATTGCTGGAAGCAGCATATACGTTCTGTAGGAAAAATGCACCCACTAGAAGAACACTCAGGAGTGACAATAAAGTAAAACATATTTTTTTCCTTCAGTAGGTCAGGAGGACCTGAAGGATTTCAGCTATAAAGCTGTAAAACTTGTAATGTGTCCAGGACTTCATAAATTTTTCATCATGGGACCTGGAGCCAGAGGACATTTGATTTAAGCTAATACTAGATGACCCCATGGTAACTGGAAGTAAGAATACATAAAGGAAAATGTAATAGGCAGTGAGGTTAGGTGGGAAAAGTGTTCCAGGGTACTGTCCCCCATCATTCTCTGAATGGTGGTTCCTTTAAATCCAATCCAGATGCCAGCCATATGCAAGTCTGGATAAGAAGGACATTACAAACCATCAGAGACAGCTCATACGAATGGTGATGCTTTAGACCACTATCTACATTCAGTTAAATAACCAAAGAAAGTAAATAAGAGTTGCTTTTGAGCAAGCCTTTGAGTCCTCCTTGAGTGAACCATTTATGCTCATTTTCATAGTCGTCTTGCAAAAGTTAATACACTTCCCAAGGTGCCTAGCTTACTGCACAAGCAGACTTGGAGTCAGGCAATATTATTAATATTTTAAGAGTATATAACATTGTCAAAGGCATTTCATGTATCCTGCTGCATTCTGCATATCCCCACTTGCATGGGTTCGACAAGCTCTATGTATCAAAGAGGAATTTGTGAAACTTCAGAAACATACTTTATCTTCTATATTTGTTGTCTTGAAGAATGCACTATCAACTAAAGCACATTTTTTTAAAATCTCTGTTTTTTTCTTCTCCTTCATACTCCTAGTCAGACATTAAATTTTGTCAATTCTCCCAAGAATAAAGAACAATTATGGTATATATTATAACACATTCAGTTTTGTAACAAAAGCAGTCACAACCGAAAACCTACAAGTCTGTGAATCCAAAGGCAGATGTGTGTACTGTATTTATCTAGGAAGGTGCATTGCTGTCTTTGTTGGTGGGTGTCATCAAGCTGCCCTAACTCGTATGGACTCTATGATAGGAACCCTCCAGGTTCCTGTGCCATCCTCACAATCTCTACTATGTGCTGCGGCCATCCTTTTAGTCACTACGTCAGTTCATCTGGTTTGGGGTCTTCTCATTCACTAACCTCTTCTCTAGAGACCACTCCTCCTAATAACATGTCCAGAATCAAAGATGAGAAGGGAGGGAAGAACAAGAAGTTCAGATAAAACTTGAAGCAGAACAAACAGAATGCAAAAAGGAGAACCCGTCCAACCCAACAACATAATGAACTCCAAGTTTGCTTTCCCAGACTCTAATCCATTATCTCTGTTGCTGTCAAGCTGAGCTTTCTAAACATCGTACCTCCCTTATTAGTTATTCTGCATTGTCTTCTACCTCTACACATTGTTTTCTGGCTAAAATGAAAATCCATTCATATGCTGTCTAACAACACTTAAAAAAAACCCCAGTTGTTTTTGAGTCAATTTCTAATTTGGTGGGATTGACTCCTTTTATGTTTCACAGGAATTCCAAATCTGTGACCTTTCCGATCTTTCATCTGGGATTTCCTCTGGGTGGATTTGAACTATGAACTTTTTGTCAGTAGTCATTTGACTAACATTTGTACCACTCATTGCATCTACTAATCTTGCTACTACAGATCTAGACTCTATCTACTTTCCACATTCTCTACCTTTATTTCCCTCTTCCCCGTCTTATTGCAGCTGACTGATTCTCTTGGAGCAACCCCTCTGCCCATCTTGATACCTGATTTCCTTTGCCTGATGCTGTGCCCTCAACCTAACTGCTCTTATCTCGTCTACCTCTTTTCTCTCCACCAACTGTTTGCTTAGAATTCTAAAATTCCCTCTTTCAGGAAGCATTCTGTGGCTCTGCTCCAAATTTTCTCTTAACATTGGTCTCCCTACCTGACCTTCCTTGCAGCCAAGGACTGAATCTTATTTATGGGATCCAGTAGACACTAATAAATGCTGATTGAATAAAAGGCAGCCATAAAGTATTTGCTTGTTAGCTAAAAAGTTGGTGATTCAAACCTACCCAGTGTTTTGCAGGGAAAAGACCTAGAAAACATGCTCCTTGGAGATCACAGCACAGGAAATTCTAGCAGGCACCTCAGCTCTGTCATATGGAGTCAATATGAGTCAGAACTTACTTGGTACCTTGTAACCTCCTAAATATTGCTGAACTATTCAGAGCAAATATTGACATCTCTGTTTTACCCACAAGGCAACAGCTTCTAAGAATTTGGGTGACTTACCCAAGCTCACATATATGGTTATCTGAGAAAAGAATCTGGCATCCACTTCTAGACAGAATGCCTCTGGAAACCCTATAAACTTTGAGAAAAGATGATAGTTACAGAAAGGCTTCAGAACTTTTGCTCATTGGGTCACTATGAGTCGTGCTTGACTTGGTGGCAATCAGCAAGAAGGACAACAGAAATCTTCTCAGTATTATTGCACTGCTTCTATAAATGTATTTTCTTTTTTTTATATACAAATATGAATAGTTAGAAAAAACAGAGTTTAAAGAGGTTTTGCATCTCCTTGGAGACCTGACACATGTAAAAATCTTCATTCAGAAATAAGTTATTGTTGCTTTGGGATAGTGTTCAGTGTGCTCCAGCTTAGGGTGCTGGTAGTGTTGTGTGCCTTCTAGGCAGAACTACTCACAGCTGACCCTTCAGTGGGTTTTGAAAGGCAGTGAATCACATGGGAGGAGACTGTCCAAACTTCTCCCACGGAGCAGCCGGCAAATCAGACCACGTGCCTTTGAGATTGCAGCACAGCTTCTTACCACGAGGCCACCCGAGCTCCTTACTAAGTTCCCTACAGAGCACCCACAAGAGCTCCCTTGAGAACCCCAGCTTCTAGACACTCTATGTACAAGCAGATGAAGCATCAATCCTGCACCATCCTCGAAATCTCCCCCGTGTCTAAGCCTGTTTTTGCTGTTATCGTGCTGATCCACCCCATTTAACGTCGTCTTTTCATCACTGATCTTGCCTTTTTCCAAGCATGACGTTTTTTCCTGAGGCTGGACGCTCCTGACAACATGTGCAAAGTATGTGAAAGCCTCATCAACTTGCCTCTAAGTTAAGGTACTCCCACCACACTTCTTTCAATATGGATTGGTTTATTTTTTTGGACATCAATCATATATCCTGAATTCTTAGCCAACATCACAATTCAAAAGCATTAATTCTTTTTTTAAAATATTTTTTAAATTTTCATCCTCATTTATTTCTAAAATTCAAATACAAATTTGAACAAATTCTTTCCATTTCCCTCACCCCTCACCCATCAAACTGCACAACCCAGTGATTGATCCCCTCCTCCCCCTGCACATCCACATCCCTCTGCTTATAGCCTCTCCCACTTTCTTCATTCTACAGTAATGGTTTTATACAATATTTATCCTTGTGGGACTGAGTTAGTTCACTCAGCATACTGTTCTTCAGTCCCTCCCAAGTTAGGTAATAATTTATAAAGTTATTGCTCCTGCATGCTACATAGTATTTCATTGTGTGAATGTACCATAATTTCTCGATCCATTTGTTTGTGGTTGGACATTTGGGCTGTTTCCTCATTCTTGTGATGGTGAATAATGCTGCTGTGAACACTGGTGTACAAATTTCAGTTTGTGACTCAATTCTCATATTCTCAGTATATTCCAAGTACTGGAATAGCTGGGTCATATGAAATTTCTATGTTCAGGTTTTTTTTTGAGGAAGCAACAAACTAAGGGCATTAATTCTTCATCTTATTTATTCATTGATAAATTTTAACATGCATATGAATTATGAATCAGATGCACTTTAGTCTTTAAACAGACTTCCTTGCTCGGAAACAGGATAAGCTATCACTTTAATGATCTTTGTGTTATACATGCTATTGGGTGGTCCCACCTCAGACAGACATGGAAAGAAAGTGAAATATTCATTAGAAAATTTGTGAAAACAAAGACATATAAAAATGCAAAGTTATTATAAGCTATGATAGAGTTTTAAATATTTGTTCAAACTTGAAAATGAGGCAGAGACTGTAAGAAGTTATAGGGAGAGAGGAAAAAAAGGAAAAATATCTTCCTTCCAGTAATTTGTAATGAAACAGAAATTTTTTCCTTCACATTTTCCAGAAAAATCGGATTTTTTAAATCATTACTCTGATGCTTTTAAATTATACACATATTTTAATTCAGCTTCCAGTATCACTCATAGTATAGTCGTTATGCCATTGCAAATTAGTTTAAACAATATTTTTCTTTTCTGGTTAAACACACAAGAATTAGTAAAGCTCCTAGTCAATACTCCTTTGAATTGTATTATTGTTGTTGTGTACTGTCAAGTCAGAACCAACCCAAAGCTGACCCTCTAGAGGATTATCTGAGGCAGTTTATCACATTGGAGGAGACAGCCCATCCTTCTCCTGTGTAGCAGCTGGTGCATTTGAACCATGAGTCTGGTAGTAACTTTGGTCTCCTAGAATTGTGAGATTAGATGAGGTGATATGAATAGAATT